TCAATGTCTTTACATGTGGCAGAACAATAATCTCTTACAAACTTTACAGAGTGGCTTTCACTTGCAGATGGGTCTCAGTGTGCTGATTGTGAAGATTGTGATAACTCTGATTCCAATAAGATGCAGCATTATAGTCTTTGTACAACTTTTTCAGCTGAGATCAGTGCTTTTAATGACTCTGAGTGCCTCAGTAGCCATTTTGTTCACAATGGGGAGACTTGACTGAGGGACTCTCTCTTGGTGTTAGGTCTGACCTGGCCTATAAGCAGCTGCAGCAGTGCTGGGTTATAGGAGAAAGACCTCAGAGAGGCTGTGAAGCTGGGGTCCTAGCCTCAGGATCCTTCTTCTTGGAGAGAGGGAGTGTTCTGGAGGTTTGGGTCCAGGGAGCAGAGTATAGCTGCAATTCAGGAACTAGAGCTAATAGGATATAATGGCAACTAGGTTCCTGGGGGATGAAGCACCATCTAGTGGTGACCTTGGATCTGGGATGATGGGGCACAGCAGTATTCCAGACTGTGAGACTGGGTACAACAATAGCAAAGAACACAAAATGACACAGCTATCACTTGGACCCTGGAGGGGTGGGGAGTTGGGGGCAGGGATCAACACAGTGATGACTCCACTTAGCTGGGAAGGAGGTGTCTCAGCAGCTCAGACTTTAGTCCAACTAATCAAGCTCTAGGGAAGTAGGGAACTAGAACTGTTTCTCCTGTTGGAGGAAGGGACATTTCTGCTCAGCCAGTGCTGTTTCCCTGGGCTGTGGAGTACTTTGTCAGCTCAGCCCTGGAATGCACAACTGCCCAGCTCAGCCAAAGCATTGATTGACTGGGTGGCAGTGTACTGCTTTAGCTCAGGCTTGGGAGTGAGTATGAGGAGTAGGGAAAGTAAGGTATGACTACTTTAAGTGGCCAACATACCATTTCCTGGGAGGCAGGGTACTACTTCAATTCAGACACTGGGAAGTCATGACTACTCTGGGAAGCCAAAGTACTGTTTTCCCAGAAGGGAGGACACTACACTTCAGCTCAGGCATGGGGGCAGGCGGCAGCAGCAACTGGGAGGGGTAGATGGCCCACTTTTCCAAGGCATTGTTTCTTCAGGAGGCAGTACACAACATCATCTCAAGCCCCAAGAGGCAGGGCACAGCAGGAACTCAGAAGGGTATATGGAGGAGTTTTGTTATGATACTCTTTTTTCTTCCACTGCCTTATAAAAGGCAGTGCACAGATTGAACTCAGGTCCCTAGGGGCAGGGTGCACAGCGACTAAGAGGAATAGATGGAGCAGTTTCACCAAGGCAGTTTCTCTCGGAGGCAATGTACAGTTTCTCCTCAGGCCATGTGGGTCAGTGTGCCATGGTGACTGGGAAAGGCAGATGGAACAGCTCTGCCAAGGCACTCATTTCCCCTGGAGGTAGTGTGTAGCTTCAGTTCAGGCCCTAGAGGACATGGTGTAGTGGGACTAAGAGGGGTAAATGGATAGCTGCTTAAGCAACTTGGCCCACCGGGTGAGATGTAGCAGCACATCAGGGATGGCGGGGCACCAGGCAGGAGTAGTCCCACAGTGGGTGAGCCTCCAGGCTGGTAGGGTGCCATGCCACTCGCCCTCAGAGCAGGACACATTCCAGCAGTAGTTCACATTCCAAGATGACATAGAGCAGAAGCCACATAGGCCACAGGGGGAAGGGCACACTGTTAGCTTCTACTCTGGGGTATCACAGCTGTGTGGACTCCAGGCAGCTCCCTCAGCTGGTTTAGTGCCTGTGAGGACTATAGGTGGTCCAGGGTGTTGATGGGAGCTACTGGGGTCCTCTTGCTTACTTTTTCCCTGCAAGAAGATGTCTTCTTGGTTCTAAGCTGATCCTGCCTAGGGAGTGGGGTGTTGGGTGCCAGATATTTCCTAGGATGTGGAGTACTATGACAGAAAGCAGTATGTGGCCATACTGGTTTTCTGTGCTCTGCAGGGTTTCTGCTACTCCTTTGATGTACTCTGGCACTCTCCTTTAGTTATTTTTTATCAGAATATAGTTGTTTGTTGTTTTGGTTGTCTTTGTGGGAGAGATGAATACTAACGGGTCTTGTTGACATCCAATTGACTTTAATTTGTTTTTTTGTCTAATGTCTCTGGGTAGAACTCCCGGTACACTGTTGAATAGCCTTGCTGATGAGGGCATTTTTACCTTGTTCTGCTCTTAAGGCAAAAGTTCTCAGTCTTTTACCCTTGAGTATGATGTTAGCTGTGGGTTTTTTAATTACATAAAATGTAACTATGGAGATTACTTGAAACATTCTAAATTTACTATTAAACCATCTATTTTGTATTAACACCTTCACTTTAATAGCATGAAAACAACTGCTTCTTTGCAGTTCTGTCTCCTCTTTTATATTGTTGATGTTACAAATTACATCTTTTTTCCATTGTGTTCTAAATAACATGAATATATAAAGTGAAATTACAAACCAAAAATACACAATTATCAGCATTTATATTTGCTGATATCATTACCTTTATTAGACATCATTATTTCTGCATAAGTGTTTGAGTAGCTGTCTAATATCCTTTCATTTCAATCTGGGCCCTTTTAGCATTTCTTTTAGGGTAGGGTTAGCAATAACAAACCCTTTCAGCTTTTGTTTATCTGGGAATGTCTTAATTTCTCCCTCATTTTTGAAGGACAGTTTTGCCAGATATACAATTCTTGTTTGTTTGTTTTTTTTTCTTTCAGCATCTTAAAGGTCATCCCTTGACTTCTGGCTTCCATGATTTCTGATGATAAATCGGCTGCTAATCTTACTGAAGATCCCTCATAAGTGATGTGTTACTTTTTCATCATTGTTTTCAAGATTCTTTGTCTTTTTTTTTTAATAGTTCAACTATAATGTCTTGGTGTGAATCTCATTGGGTTTAACCTGTTGTAATTACTTAATTATGTGTACTTCTTAGATATGCAGATATGCAGATATGCCTTTCATCAAATTTGGGAAGCTTTCTGCCATTATTTCTTCAAATATTATTTTTGTCTCTTTCTTCTCTCCTTCTGAGACTCCCACAATGTACATGTTGTTTGTGTTATTCATGCTTCTTAGGCTCTCTTCATTTTTCTTTATTATTTTTTCTTTCTGTTCCTCAGGTTGTATATTTTCAACTGTTCTACCTTCAATTTCACTGATTCTTTCTTCTGCCTGCTCAAATTTGCTGTTGAACCCACATAATACATTTTTCACTTCACTTACAGTACTTTTCAGCTTCAGAATTTATTTTGGCTCCTTTTTTTAATTTTTGTCTTTTTACTGACATTTTTATTTGGATCATGCATTATTTTTCTGGTTTCCTTTAGCTCTTTGCCCATGGTTTCCTTTAGTTATTTCTGCGTATTTAAGATAGTTGTTTTAAAGTCTTTACCTAATAAGTCTAATATCTATGCTTCCTCAGGGACAAATTCTGTTCATTTATTTTGTTCTATTAAATATTATAATGTTCTAACTCTGAAAATTAGATTCTTTTCCTATTTTAGGTTTTGAATTTTTTGTTTCACTGTCTGTTGAAGGCTGTAATAGTCCATCTGTTTAGTGACTTTCCAAAAAACTTTGGCAAGACTCTACTAGTTTTCACGTGAGATCACAGAAATCTCTGTTCTTTTAGCTTTTGTTCAGCTAGTGTTTTGATAGAGATTTACTTGACCTCTAGGAGTTAAAAAACAAACTAACAAACAAAAAAACTGCTCCAGTTCTTACAGATTATTTCTGTGCTGGAGTACTTTTTGGACACTTAGCAGTATTACACTGAGTCTGGAGATCATCCAAAGCTGAAAGTTTTGAGTCTCCTCTGGCCTCTACTGAGCATGTTTCTTGCCCTGAGCATGCACATAGCTCTTGACCTGACCATTTACATAGCATTCTGTATTTTCCACCATACACAGATGCTTTAGACTGTCCTAATTTCTCCAGGAAAATTTCCTTAGCTTTTTTTTCCCAGGCTTTAGATGGTTATTTTATGTATCAACTATAATCTTTTGCCCTAGGCAACAGCATTTGTTAGCCTTATAATGTTTTCAAGCAATGTGTGCTGCTTTTCTGCCCAGAGTGAGATCTGTGTCAGGTGGAACAGAGGTGAGTGCCTGCATCAATCCTTCAGGTAGTTCCCAGTCAGATTGGAACAGACTATATAACAATTTGTAAATAAGGCCTGCTCTGGTCCTTTTGTAACCAGGGACCAGGGCCTTCCACGGGGAATGCAGGCTGTCTTCAAGACTGCCTCTGAGCTGAGCAGGGGGTAGATCAAGTGCCAGTAGAAATGCCACAAAATTTTCCTGTGATCTTAAAGTTGCCTTTTTCTTGACTCAGTGTTCACTTGGCTGCAGTAAACTTTTCTCTTGTTCAGATTGCTGACAATTTCTGCTTGTATTTTAATATTTCTGTGGTGATAGGGAAACTTGGAGCTGCCTACTTCACCATTTGCTGGATATCACCTATTATTTGTTGTTAAGTGTTTTAAAGCCTTGCTTTTTAGTGACTACATTGTTGTTTCATTGTATAGATGTACTATATCTTACAGTAAATGATGCTATGATGAACATTTTTTCATATCTCTGATTACTTTTTTATCTTAGGATAAATTTCCAAAGTAGAATAACTATGTCAAAAGTCATGAACATTTTTGAGTTTTTTCGTATTTATTACCAAATTGCCCTGCAGAAGGTTTGCATCCATTTATTTTCCCACAAACAATATATGAGAGGATTCATTTCATCCCTTCTCTGTAATTTAATAGTTTTTCTGTATTTAATAGGCCAAAAATGACATCTTGTGGTTCTGTCTGCTCTTTTAAGAATTCTTCACATGACATGAATTTGAATCCATTGTTTTATTCCCTCAGTTTGTGATGTACTTTAATTTGTCCATTTCCTTAAATGTATGGGCCAATGAACTTAGGCCATTCTTCTGATCAAGAATACAACATTTTCCTGCTCTCATAAATATCAAATTTGAATTTATTTTATAGTGAATCTGAATGGTGCCTACCCCAAGCTGGTGCCTTTTAGACCTGCAGGACGACTGATCTCTCCACCCCTGCTACTTTCTGTGATTTTCAACATTCTTCTCAGCCTGGCCATGCACATTGTGGGCTTCATCCTGGTTCAGAGGCAGCCTTGGTATTCCATGGAGATGCATAGGTATGAGTACAGTCTCAATTTCAGCTTCTCGCATTCTAATTTCTATCAAACATCCTCTGGCCAATATGATGCAAGGCAAATGACTTTTCATTCTGCCAAAGGTTTTGGCTCTTTTAAGTCCCTTGGGCAAATTTTCAGTGACTGTTTCTTCTGTATAACACCATTTAAGGCTAACAAATGTATCATTCATTCGTTAGCACTTATCTTTGCCTGTGTTATACAATAATGATCTATGACTATCTTTTAGATCTGGGGTGACCTTGGAGTACAGTTTGCCTGGGCAGCCCCAGTTTAAGTAACCCAGTTTAAATTAAGTGATGTCCCAGCGAAATTATTAACATCTTTCTTTTTCATCTTAAAAACTATCCTTGTTAGATGATAAGTTATGTATTCACCCCATTTACAAATTATCAGATTTGTCATTGTGGTTGTTGTTGTTGTTATAGAGACAGAGTCTGTCTCTGTTGCCCAGTTGTGTGATCTCAGCTCACTGCAACCTCTGCCTCCTGAGTTCAAGCAATTCTCCTGCCTTAGCCTGCCCAGTAGCTGAGATTATAGGCACATGCATGTGCAGCTAATTTTTGCATTTTTAGTAGAGATGGGGTTTCCCCATGTTGGTCAGGCTGGTCTCAAACTTCTGGCTTCAAGTGATCCACCCACCTTGGTCTCCTAGGGATTACAGGTATGAGCCACCACACCCTGCAAAATTATTAGAGATGTAAAGCCACTTGAAGGAGGAATCATGGCTTACCCATCTCTTTCTTAATATAGCCTTAATGAACGTGTATTTGTATCTCTCTCTCTCTCTCTCTCTCTCTCTCTTTCTCTCTCTCTTTCTCTCAATGTATCCAAAATATCCAAAATATGGGTCTATCTGTGCTTGTTTTTTTTTTCTTCTAATTTTCATTTTTTTTTTTCCCAAAGCACAGGCAATTATAGAAGCATTGAGTGCCTGCTCTAGACACTGTTAGGTATGGAGTCTTCTGGATACAAATGCTCCATAAAGGCTTGTCATCTTAATTCATAGCTTCTTTGGTTTCCTTTTCAGTGCCTGCACATTTCAAAATGAAAGCATCTCAGAGTTAACCATGTCTCCAACTGCTCCAGAAAAAATGGAAAGTAATAGTGCCTTCACAAGTTTTGAGAACACTACTATCTGGTTCTTGGGAACAATCAACTGTATCATTGTGGCTCTTGTGTTCTCTAAAGGAAAACCATTTAGGCAGCCAACCTATACAAACTGTGAGTAAAACTCTACTGGATCAGAGGTGTGAAGTCATCAGAAAGGAGAACAGACACGCCCAGGTCACCTAGTGAACAGCTGTAGAGTTGACTCTTACCTGGCCTCTCCTGACTTCCATTTTCGGGCTCTGCAAAACATATTGCATGGCCTCATTTTCACAATTCTTTGCTCTTTCCTTCAAAGCTGAATTAGATACTAGGCCTTCTTTCTCTCTTTCCTTCACTAGAAGTTGTCTCTGGGTGTCTTTTCTTGGGATCACTCCAAATTGAGAAGACCAATTTATTTCTCTACTTGTCAGTATTTGTTAGAATTCACCCTGGAAAGAGTGGAGAGAAGGGTAACAGAACTTAGGTAGATCCTGTCGTTTGCCATGAAGGCAATGGTGAGGGTGGCATTGTGTGGTGGCAGGCTATAAGTGGGTCCAGCCTGGAGGAACCTGACTAGAGAGGGTTATGGAGGCTCTTGGCCAGAGTACCTCCCTTCTACCTCCTTACATTCTGAAGTGGGAAGGTATGTCTAGACGAGAAATGAGTGACCTATTTAACCTCTGAGATGTTTATTTGTATACCATCATTACTTTTCTAATTGAAAAAATTCAAAGCCCAAATTGAGTATCTTTATGAATATTTTCATAAACATTTATTTGTTCAGAGAAAATTATTTAGCTCTTCTTCCTGGAATGAGGAAGCAGTTAAATACTGACCTCTATATGACAGCAGTTTAAACATTTGCCATAAGAGAGGCTTCCTTTTTTCCAGAAAATGATTTGAGGCAGATGATTTGCATTAAAGCAACTAAGATACTTGGATTTATTGAACATGTATTTTGTTAATGTTACCCTATGTATATTTACTACGTTTATTCATTGAAACTTAAAATATGCATGTGAAAATTTTCACTTGCTTCAAGGACATGAATAGAAATTGTAGAAGTGAGATCCATTGCTTAGAAATGAGTACCTTCCATCTAGTGTTTGGATGTAGAAATCAAGTAAATTAAATCAGTGTTAATCTAGAATATGTCTGTCAATATATGTGACATTTTTCACTTTGATTTCTCAAAATGATAGCTTGTGTTCTTATTTCCTCAGATATGTTTGTCCTTGTGCTGATAATACAGCTTGGTGTATGTCTATTCATTCTATTTGCTGATATACCAGAATTATATAGACGTTTGGATGTAAGTCTTATCTTTGGGAAATGATGATGCTTTACAGTCATATAACCCCTTAACTTCAAAAAGCAGATCACAATTGCAATTGACATGATTTTTGACACAAATTATTCTTTTGGGATGGCAGAGCTAAAAAGAATGTATTCATATTTTTATTTAAACTGGTCAAGAAATAAAATTCTACCTGATTTTGATTTCATGAGACTAAAGATAGCCTTTAAGTATTGAATATTTTAATTTAATTTTATTTTTCTTATTTAAGGTGCAGGATCTCACTCTGTTGCCCCGCCTCATGCTATAGCTCACCACAGTCTCAAACTTCTGGGCTCAAGCAATTCTCTTGCTTTAGCCTTCCGAGTAGCTAGGAATGCAGAAATGTGCCATTATGCCTAGCTAATTAAAAAAAAAATTTTGTAGAGATGAGATCTTGCGACATTGCCTAGGCTGGTCTCAAACTCTGGGCCTCAAGCAAGCCTGCTGCCTTGGCCTCCCAGTGCACTGGGTTTACAGGCTTGAGCCACTGCATCTGACCAAATATTTTTATTTTAAAAGATCCCTAGTATGATGGGAAAATCTGTTTCTATATTTTCTCTTTCAAACACAAGGGAATATTTTCCTAAATGCTTCTGCTATTGAAGTTGTTTAAAACTATTTTGCCTACGGCTTTTTTTGGTTAATTATCGCGTAAGTATTTATATTTATTTTTTATGGCTTTAAAAATGTTTTCTGTGTGTTCATACTTAATCTCTGTAAAACTTACTTTCCAAGAACCATACTTTACCTCATAAACTCTCTTACATTTTACAATATTGATACAGCTATAAAAACCTACAAGATACCAAGATTTTACATATTCACGCCAGGGAAAATCATATTTTGATTTCTTTAACCTATCCTACTGTTATTACAATTTAATCATGGCTAAATGTTCTTTAGATCAATAAATACAATATTGAAGAGGTGAGTAAAGAAATAGTTCTTTTAATTTAGTGCTTTGTATATCTGATTGCCTCTCCATCTCAAAGATGAGTTTCATGAGGTCCAAGAGTGTATCTTATTCATTCTTGTATTACCAGTAGCTTACACAAAGAATGGCCAAAAATGACAAAGGAATGATTGATCACTGCATATCAGACTCCTAAATATAAACAATCACTTAGAGGACACAGTGTGTTCCCAACCAGCAATATCCACACAAACCCACAGTGACTTTTGGCATACTAACTAGTATCTTTATTTTGTCATACTAATATATTTAGCATTAGTCTTTTTATTTTTGTGATTACTGTGGTTAGCAGTATAATTAACACTGTTGTTAAATGCCTTCATGAATTAAGTATTCATGGTTATAAGTAGGCTTTGCCCACTGCTCTTCTAAGTCAGTTAAAACTTCTTAATCCTGCAGAAGTTAAGGATACGATATGATGAGTTGAGTGTCACTTTTTAATAGAAGAAGATGCTTACAGAAAGGCTGGTATAACAAAATACAGAAGATATTTGATGTAGAGAGAACCTAGTTAGGGTCATTGCCAACATGACTGCAAAGGATTCTGCAAAGAATTATCGTTCACTTTTATAACAATTATTTTTCTTATTATTACATAAAAATATATGTTCTTTTTAGAAAATGTAGAATGTGCAGGCAAGGAAAATTATAACGTTATTCACTATATTCTTCCTTCTTTTAAAATTCCTGTGTTATAAACATGTGTTGACTAATTTTTAGTTTTTTAAAAAGGATGAGATCACATTATTTTATAACTTAGAAACTGCTTACTTAAAAACTTATAAATTATTTTAATAGAGCACACATTCATTTGGTTTACAATTCAAAAGTTTAAAAAGCCATATAGTGAAAATCTCCATCCCATCTTAGATTCCCAGTCGCCAGCTGCCCTCTCTGTAGGCAACCAGTGACACCAGTTTATTTTACATACTTTGAGATCTATTTTGTATATTCTTTTTCCACATTTTTACATAAATATGAGAAAACTATTATATTTGCTCATGTCTGAACTGGGATCTGAGATGTAGATGTCAAGCTGGGTTGAGTTGTGCAAGAGAATTATTGGAGGAAATTCCCAGGGTGGGGGCAGGGGAATAGAAAGTCAGAGGAAGTAGGGAGAGGCATCGCACTGTGATGGGGGTTTAATCTCTAAGAAGAATAGAGGGAAGAAGGAGGGCTGGGTGAGTAGCATCTCAGACTGCGGCACACTTCTAAGAAAGTCAGGCCAAAGTTGCCCCTCAGGAGTTTCTATGTCTCATAGGAATGAGTCTGGTTAGAATCCTGCTGTCCTCATTACTCGGTTATGTGAAGCGTATGACTTTATATATGCTTTACAGCAGCTGTGGTAGTGGATTCTGAGAATAGCAGTTAGGGTATTCATCATTTATCTTCCCAGAAGCAGAAGATCTGAGTGGAAAATTTTCATGGCTGCTACAACACATACATAGTCAGGCACCTTGCTTCTTTCATGTAACAGTATTAGTTGTTCCATATCAGCACATACATTTTCCTCATTCTTTTTAATGTTAATATAATATTTCATTTTATGTGAATGCATTTTATTTATGTGTTATATATATACCATAGTTTATACGTACTCCCATATTGGTAGACATTTGTTTCCAAGTTTTTATTATTACAAAGCTGTAATAAAAATATTATTGCACATATATGATTTTAGCCATATACAAGTATATTTCTGAGATAAGTTTCTAGAAGTGAATTTTTAACTTTGAGAACATTGTCCTCTATAGAACTGTTCTAGTTTTTACTCTTACTAATGTATGAGGCAATGCATAAGGCAGTGCCAGGTACAATGGGATGCCCTTGGCACTTTTTCATTCATTAATTCCTCCATTGATTGATTCATTCACCATATGTATTTATTAGGCACTGGGCCTGGAAGGGGTTGGGAAGACAGAGAAAGTGGGCAAAGGGACAGGTCATGACAACCTTGATTTCAGCTCCATTTGCTCCTTTGGCAAGTGCCCTTGTGAGGGCACACTGCACAGCTGGATACACAGTCCTGAGGGTGAAGCCCTGAGCCAGGGCTAAAACCAGAGCTCGGCTGGGGAGAGATGTGGCACCAGAGAAAAGAGGGCGATGCTGCCCAATTGTCAAGGTTTGATATGTGTACCCTCAGGCCTCCTGAGAATAAAACCACATTCCTGCCTCCCTTTTGACAAAAAAACAAAGCAAGCAAACAAAAAATGATTTTACTATTTTTTTCTAATTGCAAAGTGACCCAAGTTATTTTAGGAAATTTAGAAATTACAGAGAAACACACACATGACAAGAAAAAAAAAAGATAAAAGAAGAAAAGCAACATTCATAACCCCCAAATCATTAGGTTCGTGAGTATAAACTTTCCATACTTTTTCTGTGCATACGAACATAAAAATTCTTTATACATATAAGATTTATGTAATACACACACATATATATGACATTTATAATCTGTGAAAATGTATACTGTGGACATGTGAACATGTTTCCAGAATATATTTGTCTTCAGACTAACCGTGCTTCGTCATCTCCTGCCAGCTGCTCTGCACTCCCATCCTGTGGAGGGTCTCCATTGTCATCATGCTCAGCTTGAATTTCATTGTGTCCCTAGTGACCGAGGTAAGTGCCCTCAGGCTGCTGCTCTTGTGTGTGTGTGCATGCATGTATGTAGGGGGACTTCTTTGGGACTCTGAAAAGCTGCCATGGACTCAGCAGTGCAGTGCCTGCCTTCCTTCACAGCGTAAGAAATGGTGCATTCCTCTGAGTTCCAAGCAAGGCACCAGTTTTTCCATCTGCCAAGTGGGGCTGGGGAGAATGGAATTATGGTCTCTAAGGTCCTATTCATTTCTAAAATCTCCAAATAAAGACCCAACACAATTTACTTTTTAAAATTTAGATGTGATTCACACACCACAAAACTTACCCCTTTAAAGTATACAATTCAGTGGTTTTTAGTGCATTCACTGAGTTGTACAAACGTTAGCACTACCGAATTGCAGAACATTTTCATCATCACTAAAGAAATTCTGTACCCCCCAGCCGTTGCTCTTCACTGCCCCTTCCGCCTTCTCCTGGGCCTTGGTAGCCACTAATCTACTTTCTGTCTGTGTGGATTTGACTATTCGGGACATTTCATGTAAATGAAATCATACAATATGTGGCCTTTTGTGTCTGGCTTCTTTCACTTAACAACTCGTGTCATTTTTGCCTTACAGATGGGAAATGACATTCATAGTGAGCTTTTCCAGCTTTCAATCTCCAGCTCCCATTGGCTCCATTTCCTAGCTTTTATTCCTCAGCTCCCTTGTGCTCCATTTCCTCAGTGAAATGAGCTTGTGCTCCTGCTTCCTTTCTCCCTGTGATTCACGCTTTCCTCCCTCAGTGCTGTCAGACACAACCTCCATTCTTCAAAGCCTGTTGTTAGGCAGGGGTGCCCCGAAAAGGCATTTAGGAACAAAAGAGAGGTGAGATGCAGAATTCCATCTGCCTCTATTCCTGCTCTGAGTTACTAGAATTGTTGCAGCAAATGGACTGTTCGTTATGAGCCATGAGAACTGACAGCCTGACTTCCCTGAAGTATTGTGGAGGCACGACCTCAATGAGCTCTCCCTACTTATTCCTGTGCAGAGTGAAGGCTTCACAGGAGCTGGTGGCAGAACAGGACATAAAAATTTCACTACTGGACCTTCTCTCTCTGTGCTAAACCAGAGCTTTTCAAACTTAAGTGGGCATCAGAATCACCTGGGAGGCTTGTTAAAACAGAGATTGCCAAGCCCTTCCCACAGTGTGTCTGATTCAGTAGATCAAGAAAAAGTGTAAAAGTTTGCTTTTCTAACAGGTTGTCAGGGGATTCTGATGTGACTTGTTCAGGGATCACACTTTGAGAAGCAATATGCTTAACCATATGGTCTCTAAAGCAACCAGATTAATAAAAGAACATTATCACAGGTGTCCTCAGACCCAATGAAAAAATGATGGTCTTTGCCCTTTAAAGGATAATCTAATGTGTACATCTTATCCCTGTCCATGATCACAGGATTTCCTCTGTCTGGCATATCTTTCCTCCATTTCTGCATATTAAAGTGCAATTCCATCCTCTAATGCACAGCTGTAGTATTATCCTCTCGTGCATCTTTCCTGATCTCTGAATCAGGTAGGCAAGTAGCAACTGAACTAACAGTGGTTTAAATAATAAAGACATTTATTGACTCAAGAAGAGTGAAGATCGGTGGCTTTAAGACTGGCTTAGTGGCTCAGTAGTGTCATTGGGAATCCACACTCTTTCACCTTTCTGTTCTACTATCCTTAGATGTAGTCTTTTATGTTTGTGCTTGTGGTTTTTGTGCCCAGATAGCTTCCACATGGCTGGACTTTACATCTGTTTTCAGTGCAGGAAGAAAATGGAAGGAGCAGCTAACAGCAAGCCAGTTTCCATCAAGTCTGAACCTTTTCTTGGGAAACAGACTTTTCCTGAAGCTCACCAGCAGACTTCCTTTTATGCCTTATTGATTAGACCTGTGTCTCATTGTCATCATGAGTAGAAAAGGATTCTGGGAAAGCAGATCCATGTCAAACGTTAGACAATTTGCCTTAGACCATTTATTATCATTACTTTTCCCTTTTAGGTGGGCAGGGAAGAGTTGGGAGGGAATGGGCTGTATGGTAACCAAGTATCAAAGTCTTCCATAATATTCTAGCAGGAGGTTCTTCCTTTTTCAGCATATTTGAAGTTAAGAGCACAAGCTCAGGAGTAATCTACCTGGGTTTGAATCCTGGCTCCACCAATTTCTTGGTGTCTGACTTTGGGCAAATTATTCCACTTACCTAATCTCTGAGCGGCTCAGAAAACAAACGGATTTGAGCAGGACCTTATCCTTACTATGCCAATGCTCATGATCTAACCTCCAGCTGAGAGGCATGAGATCTAGTGTGGATAGCTTTAATTGCCCCCACCTTTAAAAAATTATTTTTGTGTTTATATAGGTATGCTTGTATGTATGAGTTATTTGAGTAGCCAGTCAGAAGAGCTCATGCTGTGAATTTTTTTTAAAAGAAATGTCTCACCAAGGCTTTTCTTCTGTTTCTAGTTGTATTAGTCCATTCTCCCACTGCGGTGAACAAATACCTGAAACTGGGTAATTTCAAAAGAAAAGAGGTTTAATTGGCTCATGGTTTTATAGGCTGTACAGGAAGCATGGCTGGAAGGCCTCAAGAAACTTTCTATCATGGCAGAAAGCAAAGGGGAAGCAGGCAGGTCTTACATGGCCCGAGCAGGAGGAAGAAAAGAGAAGGCAGAGATGCTACATGCTTTGAAACAATCAGATGTCACGAGAACTCACTCACTGTCATGAGAACACCAAGGAGGATGTCCACCCCATGATCCAATCACCTCCCTCTCAACCCTTCCTGCAACATGGGGATTATAATTTGGCATGAGATTTGGATGGAGACACAAATTCAAATTATGTCACTGGTTCTGCATTGCATTTATAATGTGTGGTAACAGGACAGATCACCTCTCCGTAGTTTCCTCTTCCAGAGCAGCAAGGTGATATAGGTCATCATAATTCCAGAACTAAAACACACTCAAGGCAAGATGTAGAGCTGTAGAGCACTAAAATTTTTCTCTCTCTCTCTCTCTCTCTCTGTGTGTGTGTGTGTGTGTGTGTGTGTGTGTGCACATACGTGTGTTTTCATCTATTTTGTTTTAAGTCTTACTAAGGTTTCCTGGAAGTAAGATTTTAAAACCTTCACTTATGTTCCTGCCTTATCCCAGCTCTAAGAAGAGCTACTGTTTTCTTGTAAGGAAGACAAAAAAAAAAAACCAAAAAACCTTGCTGCAGGAAAGTAGAATAGCTCATCTGGCTAAGTTTCCAAGAGGCTGAGATGGCTATGTGGATCTTTAACAGCCTGGCAACTGTTACATAACCTTACAATGCAGAGCAGGATATAGCTCTCTCCCTTTGCCTGCCCTTCTGAACTACTCATTTAACAAATGGCTATGTACTGTGGTCCTATTCACACATGCCTCTAACTTTCACCTTCACTGAAATACAATTTTAAGATTACAAAAGATATGTCCAGTGAGAACACCTTAGATTGGCTCTGCGCTCAAGCTCTTTGTCCAGCTGGATCTAAGCAGCCATTGCAGTAGTGACTTACGATGGCCTGTGGAGGGCTGTAGCCTCAGAACACTCAACCCCTGATTGTGAAAAGCAATTCTTTTATTTTGCAGGAGGCCATTATTGAAAATCGAGCCCTGTGGATGATGATTAAAAGATGTTTTGGCTATCAGTCAAAAAGCCAGTATCGGATATGGCAGAGGGACTTGGCAAATGACCCCAGTTGGCCCCCACTAAACCAAACCTCCTACTCTGACATGCCAGGTTGTGGCAGAGGGGTGTCTTACAGCAATCCGGTATTTGAGAGCAATGAAGAACAACTTTGAAGTTCATGTGATATCCAAGTTGATATTACAGAGAAACAATGACAAAAGGGACCAGTTTCATTGATTTTAAGAAATGAGACTCTTGCAACATCAGCTGGAGTTTTGGGATACCTATCAAATCATGGTGACAGACTAAAGTCTGTTTGATAAAATACTTTCTACAGAGAAGAACATTGACCCAGAAGAGTGCTTTCCTCTTGGCTTCTGAAGGTATGAAGGTATGGGAAGCATTCAGTGAAGGCAAGAATGGGCCAAGGATTGCCATGGAGACAAGCAGGCTAAAGGGGAAGAATATGTGATCTTTCTTCTTAAGACAGGATAACACTTTCCTTTAAAAAAATGAGTTTAGGGGAAGTAGTCCTGTGTATACTCATGGAGTTGTAACATGTTAAAGATCACTTTTGAATTTTTACTTCATCAGTGGAAAAACTAATGCATGGGAAACATTACACCAATCTTTACCGTCTGGATTCTTTTCCTCTGTAGTCCTTTTCAGATTTGAGGCTTTTTCTTCTGCTTCTGGCCTTACCCTACATATTATTAAGGATAAGCTCAGCCTATGCTGCAATAAAAAAGCAATTCTCAGATAGCAGTGCCTTAACGCACAAGAGCTTCTTTCATGATCCAGGTGACACTCCAGAACAGCTATTCTTACAGTGGTGACTGCTTCACTCTGCTGGCTCCATCAGCTCGACACAAGGACTCTGTGTTTACTGTGATGGGGGAAGGGGTAGGCTGGAGATCACATGTGGGCTCTTCACTGCCTTACCCCAAAAATGGCACACATCTCCTTCCCTACTAATATCTCATTAGTCAGGGATTTGGCCAGGAAGCTGGCAAGTACAGTCTCCTGTGTTTGGGGATGCTTCGTGGGCTCATGAGCTGTCGCTACACAGGGTCCCCATGCTTAGAAGGGCCCCATGCTACTTCAACACTCTGCTGTTTCCATCTTAAAATTCTTAATTTTTGAACAAGGATCCTCATATTTTCATTTTGTACCGGACCCCACAAATGATATAGTTGGTCTGGGATGCAGTCCTGGGAAGGAAAGGAAAATGGCAGATCAGAGAGCACTAGTGCTGTCCACTAACGTCCACTTCTTTTAACCCCAGAACTTACCCTATGTTTTAGGAACCTCTCATGTCACATGGCCAACTCCAGAAATTTTCACTCCTCTGCTTTATTATTTTTGAGAAACATTAGTCTTGTGCTAAGGATTATATGGTACTACTGATGTAAGTTCTTACACAACCAGTACGTTTTTTAAGTTTGTGGCTTCAGGTTCCAGAAAACTAATATTTTCCTTATTTTATCACTATTACAATTTGATTATACTGGATTTGTTCAGCATAAGGAAGACTCAGGTTTCTGTTAGCTCAGGAGACAACACTGAATTCTAGGAGCACATTTACACATAACATTTTAAGGCAAAAGCAACATTTTTATTATGAGCATCAGATCCTAGGTGAATGTTCTAATCGGGGGTTAAGTGTCCTGGCCCAGGCTGGCTTTGCTACTAATTAATAGCATTTGCAAGCATTCTTTCCCCCTAACTGAGCTCTCGAGCATGGTTGATGGCTCTATTACTGCAGCTGATTCTGGGAACATGGTGTCTCCCAGCCACGAGGGTACCTTGTTACTTCTGGTTTTAAAATAGGGCTTGAAGATATTTCAGTGTTCTAAGACTGCAGAATCATTGTCTTTTTTCGATACAGAAAGAAATGTTTCCTTTTGCAAAGCCAGCCTTAGCAATGCTATGGCAGTTCTGAATGTCCTTTTCTGAAAGTGTTTCTCATTTTCCAAAAGTAGAGGGTTGTGGGCAGGGGCAAGCTAGACGTGGTCTGCGAACTAGTCATGAGCAAGATCAGCCTGCACAGTTCATACTTAAATGCACCCTTCGTTAAGTGTGTTCACCTCCATTAACTCACTTGAATTGTACAATTGTCCCATAGCTCAACAAGGAACGGCTTATCATCTCCACCATGCAGATGAGAAAACTGAGATTCAGGAATGGCAAGAGCAGATCTAGGCCTCAAATACAGATCTTCTGAGCAAACCTTATATTGCTTCCAAATACTTCCTAATTATGGAGCTCTAGCAGGGCAGGGTGCTTAGTGTGATCTCACAGTCAAGCAAAGAATGGGCAACTCTTTCCTAATACCACGGCCTCTGTTCAAATGAATGCCAGTCATCCTGCCAGGCCTGGGCTAGAGGTGTGTTAAAAACCAAACCAAACCAAACCAAACCAAAAAATGATTGTCTGTCTTTCTGAGACTGAGTTGCTCTTGCCTCGGGCCTAAGTGATTCTATCCCTAGCAATGGCCGGCAGGGAACAGGAATAAAAGAATCTAGTCCTCCACTAGCCAAGCAGCCATGAAATCTTTGGGAAAAGAGACTCATTTTGAAGACTGTATTCCTGCAGCTAACTACATCTTGGAAGCAGTAATTGAAATAACAGGGAGTGCCTAGCCTGGAAAAAAAATAGAGGACTGTGAAGGGTTATTCTGAGAAAGAAGGATCTGTTTGTGCCAGGTGGCATGAGAAGGCAGAATCCGGACAAGTGGGTAAAGATCACAGTGGGGATGGCTTCAGGCCATCTGCCCTAACCACTGTCCTAACAGCCAGCACTGATACCAGTGGAATGTACTCCATGACATTGAAGGAACAAGTGGCTATTCAAAGGCCAATTAGAGAAGGGAAGTCAGGTATCAGATGAAACTCAATTACCTGCAAGATCTCTTTCAGGCTTGATACACCCAATGTCTCAGTCTTATGCTGTGATGTGAACCATTTTCTACTGATACCCACACAGAATACCAGACTGACATGGGAGGATGAGCTCTGGAGGGAGGGCTCCCAGCCTTGTAAGACCCGATTGTGTGGACATACAGACTCAATGGCCTTGTACCTTGAAAGGGGATCTTACCTCCCTACTGGAGATAAGATGCTAGGAAAGAGGTGCAGAGTGAGGCATTCTGATTGCTAGATTGAAGCTGGTTCAATCTGATTTGTGTATTTTCTTAAAGAGAGGTGTTTAAAATCTTTACATGAGAGAGCATGGGAGAGTGCCCTAAACTTGAGGGCAGAGCAACCTGTTACCAATACACTTTCTTGACCAGACTGTGAAGGAGAACAGAGTCACATAGTCCAAATCATTTGAGACAGTGTCCTGTATGTTCATCCCAAGGCACCTAGCTCTTACCCACAGAGAACCCTGACTCTGGGCTTCCCTCACTAAATATGTAATGATCTGAGAATGGAAATACATGCGTGCCATCTGTATCCTTATGTGCTTATGGAGATGTTCACGTACACACCTGCAGATGTGTTGATTGAAAGAAAGTGATTATTTATTCAGAGCTTTGTATCTAGTTTATGCTATAATAAATTATTCTGTACAAAAGAGGCACGTAAAATCTATAATTCAGTTTTCATAAAAATCAATCTCTCTCTCTGCAGTGGAGTCTTTCACTCTGTCTAATAAAATGGTTTACTCCAGTAATGTTGAATCAAACAACATCTTTACAAATTTCCAGCCATTTTCTAACAACACAGATGCTATTTTTCTCTGCTTTATACACTGGACATTAGAGTTTACAAAATACTTTCATACTTCTTCTTTCATTTAAGCCTTGTAACAACCTTAGGAGGAAAACAAGGCAAGGATTACTGTCCTTTTGATGAGGTACAGGACTCTCCAGATGGCTCAGCAACTGGATCTAGGACACATGGCTCGTGCATGGAGAAGCTGGATTCAGATGTAGGTCCTTTATCAGCAATATCTCTGCTGTGTCACACTCCCACGTTGTTTTTCCTGAATGAAAAAAGAAAAAAAAAAACTATAGCATAGAAAAAACAGATGACAGCAAAGGAAGCATCCAATGTAATTGCCACCGTGAGCACAATTTCTTCCAGAAAGACATTTTGGTGTCTCATGAAAGTTCTCTTGAACCTGACCATCAATCACAGAAAAGGTCAACTCCAACAGCTAAGAGAGTAAAATCATAGCACCAAAGCTTTGTGAGCCTATTTCATGTGATCAGATAAAGCTCTGGTTTTTGACTTCAGTCTCCAGAAACAGAAACCTATATCCCTGCTTGATCTTTATTCAGACCTGCTTTCCACAGCTTTTCAAGTTCCTATAGAATCTCTTTTGGCTTTGAAGTATGCTCACTTCTCTACGCATAAACAACTTGAAAACTGCTGCCCCATAATATTCTGTCTGCCCTTTGGTTTCCGCTAGACTTGTTAACAATAACCTTTACACTTTGTTAATAAAATGATTTTCTTCAAAATTGAACAAAGATAAAATTAACAACAAAACATAACTCTCCCAGAATTGATCAAAGAGCCTTAGGAGTGAGCCACCTTTCCATCCTCAGGAAAACTGCATTTGCCATCCTCTTTGCCTTGAATGCTACCCACCACCAACCTCCTGTTCCCGTTGCTGATTCCTTCTCCTTCAGATTTCAGCTCACTTGTCACTTCCTTTAAGAAGCCTTCCATGACCACTTCATCTAATGTTGCTCTTGCTCCACTACTGTGTTTTATTTTCTACATAATGCCTGTGCCACCGTTCAGATGACTGAGGCTGAAAGAGTGCTACTTGCTCAAGATCACCTAATGGGGAAATGAATGATCTGAGTCTATAATCTAGATCTACTGACTTCCAAATCAAGGTTCTTTACATTCTTCACATCTAGCCAGATTCTGCCAATTAAATTAGCTAATCTGTCAAGAAAAATAATGCAGGATGCTGCAGAGCATTGTCCATGGTTGGATGAAAAACACTCTTAAGAGTCATCCAGACTCTCCCAGCTCTTTTCCCTGCTGTCTTCCCTTGACTTCTCCTAAGTGTTTCAATGCCATGAAAAATGTGATGAGTCAGTGACTTGTGATAAAGGCTGCACATATAGTTGCTACAGAAATTCTGTTGAGTTTAAAATTGTGGATAAAGGGGGTTATACTGCAGAAAGGTCTCACATGTGTTGTATGTATTGCACACTGTACAATCCTAGGATGGACCATTCATATTGTACTGCAAGCCCAGGGCAATGGTTCTGGATTATATCAAGGAAGCTTTGTGGGTAAATGATGGCTTTAACTTTGTAATTATAAACACATATATGCAATGAAAAGTTCCACCTGTGCCTGCTACAAAGAATTTCTTCTTCTTTAGGCCCTTTGTTGGCACCTGCCTGATTACAGAAGCCTCTTAACTAGTCTCCCTGAGATCTTTCTTCCATTTTCATTCTTAAAGTCTCTATCTATTCTAGTTGCACAACTCTGATGGTGTTATGTCCATGGTCAGAAACCCTTAATGGTCTGAATTGTCTACCAGATAAAGTACACATTGCTTGCTAAGGATTTCAGTCTTCTCTACTGGCCACATCTGATTTCATCTCAGATCTTTCCCCTTATTGAATTCTCTACTTCAGCAAACTGAATTTCCAGC